AAAAAAAAAAAGCCACACGAAATCCAAAAAAAAAGGGCCCAAAAGGAAAATGAAATGAGACGATGAAACGAAAAGAAAAATAAAGCAGCGGAATGCCCCTCTCCCTCACACACACACACACGCGCGCACCGAAACAAACACAAAACCCAGGAAAAGAAAACGGAGAAAACCGAACAGCAAAAAAAAAGACCACCAAACAACCCAAATGCCAAACCTAAAGGAAGCGAAAAAAGAAAGAGGGCCCGTGGGAAGAAGAAGAAGAGAGAGCAGAGAAGAGAGGAAAGATGGACATGAGGTGCAAAGGAAACAGAGGGGGAGGGGCAGACCGGGGGGGGAGAGAGAGAGAGAGAGGGAGGACAAAAAAGAAGTATAAGGAAATGGAGTGGTGCCATGACCTGACGAATACGGGCATTAATATATGAAGCGAGACAAACAAGGACTCTGTGAAGAGGAGTGGGGGGGATGAATGTGCGACTCACTCTCTCTGTCGGTGCGTGTGTGGCGTCACAGCAACTTGAAGAACAACAACACTCATTAATCGAGACTACGGAGCGAGGGCCGCATGAAAGGAGGGCAAGACCAATAGCAGAAATGGTGTGCCGATCGAAGCTGTAGAAGAATCATGCGAAGAGAGGAGTGCGAAAAGGATAGAATGTCTATGTATGTATGCGTGCGTGTATGTGTGTGTGTGTGTGTGTGTGTGTGTGGTGGCAGCAGCAGCATCAAAAACAATGTGTACTCCATACGAGAGCTCGGCTGATGCCGACCATCACACCATTAAAAGCGACCCCACAAACTAATGAAAGCCCGAAACATCTGCGTTGGTGTATTGAAAGATAGGGTGGGGGGGAGAGAGAGAGAGAGAGAAAGAGGCAAGGAAGAGGATGTGCGGTGGGAGTGGACAGGAAGGAATGTAAGGAAACGATGAAGTTCAAGGATATATGCATCTATTCCTGAGGACACAGAGAGGTGAACCAAAAAAAAAAGGAAAAAAAAAGAGAGTGCCGGTGCGTAGGGAAGGACAGAACGAAGAGACACAGGAGCACGAATACGAAAGGAAGAGGGAAGACCTGTGCTATCAGAAAAAAAATATATGGGAAGGAAACATTTGACAGAGGCGCTGATGGAAGGAGATGCTTCATCCTCCACTACCGTCGTCATTCCCGCTGCTGCTACTGTAGTGGCTATCGCTCTCTTTTGTGCGGTTGGTGGGGCAGGGTGTGGGGTGGAGAGGGGGCGTGCAGAAGATGCTATGAACTCCCACACGTTTCTACCTCCGCTGCTCTTGTTGTTGGTAGCGCATTTCTCCTGAGCTTTTGCACGCGCAATGCCCCACATCTTAGACCGACTCTGCGCAGGTGAGGCGAAGATGTCGGTTGGGACGAGCAGGCGAAAGACCCTTGACGAAGAGGAAGGGGACGAGAAGGTGCCACACGACCAGGAGAGAAGAGAGCGAGTAGACGCGTCCTGTTCATCTCCAAAAACTAAAAAAAAGCCGAGCTAAATAGTGGGGTGTGATGCATTTTTCCCTGCCCGCAGCCCCCCTCCCTTCTCTCCTTCCTCTGTCTTAGCTGGGCTCGTCCACTTTCTCCCGTCCCGCCGCAGTGGAAGGGCGCTGTGTTTGCTTTCTTGCGCCGCACACGCACATCCACTTACACCCGCGCGTGGAGCGAGAGAGAGAGAGAGAGAGAGATAGGATCACACCGTCACTCAGTGCTGCTTGTCGGCGGCCATGCGGGTGTGCCCAGGCACAAAGCCCACGCCGCGCCGCGAGCTCCCGCTCTTTCGTATGTAAACCCTTTTTCGTTGTATTTTGGCTTCCGATTTTTGTTTTGTTTGTTTGTTGGGTTTTCTTTGTTAGCTCATCTGTTTCTTTTCCGTTCTGTTAATGCTTTTTTGATTTTCTTTTTCCTTTGCATTCTTTCTTCTGTACCCTTTGGTTTTTCTGTTCTCTCTCCTTTCGTCGTGCCGATTCTGCTTCCCGCCGAGCCGTTCGCCTCGCACACGCACACACTCTCCCCTGCTGCACGCGAGCGCCTCCCGGGCTCCGGCCCATTGGCGCGGTGCGGACGCGGCGGCTGCGTGCGTGTGCGAGGCGAGGGGACGAGACGAGTGTGAGAGAGAGAGCGAGAGAGACCGATGCGTGTGTGTGTGTGTGTAGGAGTGAGAGTGGGTGGAAGAGATGCACGGCGAATGTACAGAAGCGCACACACACAGACACACACTAACAAAGAAAAATAAGAAACAGCCAAAGGACGGAGTTGGGCGCATTTTTTTCCTCTCCTCCCGTGTGCGGCAAAGCGGGGGAAAAGGGCGAGGACACGACCATCGTCATTATCATCCACAGGATGGCCTCACATCTTGAACAGTGGTGAGAGAGTGTTGGGGTTTCGCGTGTGTGGTGGTGCTGTTTAGCTCTTCTGCGTTTGTAGTGCGCGTTTGGTTGCGCCATCGCTGTTTGCGCCTTTCCCTTCCCCCACTCTCTCATTGCCTCTTACAAACACCATTCTAGGGGTTGCGCGAGGGACCCATGCGGGCACTGACGCCGGTGTGGAGGTCTGCCACGACTTCGTCCTCTTCAGCGACGTTCGATCTTATCGGGCGTGTGCCGTTGCGCAGCCGTCCACGCTACAGCCAGCAGATGTCGGCGACACAGAAAGTTATGGATGGCGGTACACTTGCCGCACTGCCGGCTGCTCCCTTGAGGTACCCACGCCACGCCACACAGCAGGCTTTGCTGGAGCTGGAAGAGCAGGAGCAGCAGCAGCAGAAGCCCAGCGATGCACTTTGTTTGGCCGCGGAAACGGTGGATGACGACATTATGTTGGACGATCTCCACAACACGCCGCTGTGCGAGGTGGCCGCCCTGTCGGAGCGAAAGAAATTATGCGAGCATCACCCAGCGGCGCGTGGCGTCGGCGCTGATGTCATTGACTTGGTGACAGACGCCTTCAAGGTGGAGCGGGAACGACTCATTGCGCAGCGGCGGCGGGTGCTGTACGACTTGACGCATCCCCGCCCCTCAGATTACACATACAAGGGTAAGCTGGTGCCGCCTCCGCCGCTTAGCTTCGGGACGATATCAGAAGAGGCAAAAATGCTTGGCAACAAGGTTATGCTCGGACAACATTACTCCCTGGTGAAACAGGCAGGGGTGCGGCGCGACGGTGCTGATGATGCTGCTCCTGGCTCTGCGGGTGCTATGGGCCAGCGGCGACGTGGTCACCGCAAGGAAACGATGTACGACAACCACAATTACTTCTTTGAGATCAACGATCTGTACCAGGAGATTGTACTGGTTGGCAAGGCTTGCGCGGGAAAGTCAAGTCTGCTGAATGCGCTCCTTGGCCAGCCCGTGGCAAAGACTAGCAGCACTCCCAACACGACGCGACAGGTGTCCTTTTACCAGAGTGTCAGCCCGGCGGAGATGCAGCGGTATCTCAACGTGCGGGGCAACGGCCTCGTGAAACTCCCCGGTGGTGGCCTGCAGCTGACGTTTGTGGATGTGCCGGGTTTCGGTATGGAGGGCATGTCGGACCAATGGCGAGACAAGGCGGTTGAGCTGACGGACGCATACCTTGGCGTGCGTCGCTCCGTCAACACGGTGCTGTTTTGTATCGACTGCGAACGTGGGCTTACTAAAGCGGATTTGCGCTACTTTACATGGCTGGAGAACCTCCACGGGGTGTTTTTTGTGGTACTAACCAAGTGTGACTCAGTGCCACACTCACGTGTTTGTTCCGTCATGCGGCAAATATACGCCGTCATCACGAAGAACCGACGCAAGTACCGCAAGGTATTCCCGTTTATTCTCCCCACCTCCGCAAAGGACGGCACAAACGTGGAGGTGCTGCGCGGTTTGATCGCCGAGACCTCCGGCCTCATTCCTGGCGATCGACTGCGAGAGGTCCTCAAGGCAAAGGCCGAGGCCGATATGCGCGCGGCGCTGGAGGAGGAGCAGAAACGGCTTCAGGAGGCACGTCACGTTGAAGTGGAGACAGCGAAGGCCTTCTTCGCCACTACAAAGGGCAAAGCCATTGACGACACAGCGTTACCACCACCGGCTGCAACTGAGCTCCTGTCGACACCAGCGCCAACACCGGAGGCGCAGAAGTTTGTGCTTCACCTGGATGGTCAGGGCGATGGCAACAAGGGCGACAGGGGCACACCGCCGGTAACAGCAACCGAAGCGCAGCCGTCCTTAGTGCTTCAGACGGACGAGAGAAACGACATGCATGAGACTGGCTCCGACGAAAAGAAAAGAAGGCGGCAACGCTTCTTGGCGTGGCGCCACGCTCGCCCACTGCAACGACACACGTCCAGCTATGGGTCATTTCGGCTCAACACGGGACTTGAGAGCCCAGATTCGGAACGGCTGGAGTTGTTGTACACAGGGACCGACGCTTCCAAAGGCAGTGCGAATATGAATAGTACTGCATCAGATGAGGCGAATGATGCCGGCCATCTGGAGGAGGAAGAAGAAAGGAATAATAAGGATGCTTCTGCTAACCTTGACACACCACCCCCAGCACCAGCAGCGGCAGTCACGGCCTCCGCTGTTCTTGGCCTGAGTGGGACGGGCGGTGTGGCGGAGCCCCTTCAAGAGACAACGGGAGGTGTTAGTCGCTTCTTGACAATTCTGAACAAGTATGCGCAGCAGGAAACCCCGGTGAGAACAAACCAACGTATTCAGGCGAAAGAGGATCGGTGGCGCGAGCGCCTGCGCAGCGGGTCTGTCACACGTTTCCTTGTCGAGGAGCATGATGGTCGACTTGCTGAGTATAAGGCAGGCAAAAAATTCGGTCCTTCTGTTGTGGAGCCAGACGGTGTGGAAAGAAGACGGTCGCAGTGGGCGGCCCAGCAGTATGTGCAGCAGGCCGTTGCTGTTCGGCCGACAGCACCATGGGCTGCACTTGATGACCTGCGGAAACATAACGAACGTGTTAAACAAGAGGCGGCGATGAAGGGCATGTCGCGAAAGGACCTCGAGGCATACCTACGCAACTCTGGACGCATTACAGAAGACTTTGAGAAATTTGAGGGCGAGGTGACTACGGCCAAGTATATGAATGAGATTCGACAAACTAAAACGCTGCGTACGCAGCAGCAGATGCACCTCAATAGCACGGCAAAGATATCATACCGTTCGATGCCCGTTGGGCTGTGGAAGCACTACGGGCAGAGGAACACGTACTGGCCCACGTCTAACGTGAAGGGTCGTTGATCACATCCTTTTTTTCGTCTCTGGGGAGGGGAGTCGTGCTGAATACCTCATTCTGTCCTCCCGTGTGTTGGGTATATTGATTAGTCACAACTTCAAAGGCGCCTTCCATGTGTGTGTGTGTGTGTGTGTAATTGTTTTTCCTTTCCTCTGTACTCCATCCTCTGTACGCATACACACGCACACACACACACACAGATGCATGTGCGTGGGTACGAGTACTAAGAGTTTGGCCTCGCGCCTTGGTGCAAAAAGATGAAAAAAGAGGAAGAGCATGGGTGCTGGATGCCGTCACGTTCACCATGGCGTCCCTTGAAAGCTGAGGGGGTGATGCGCGTGCTGCTATTGGCAGTGTCAGGTGATCGTGCGACCTGCACTTCAAGCGCCACGGGGCGCGCGTAGACTGTTATCGATGATTCTCGCGAGGCGGTGGTTCGTTTGGACGGTAATTCTCTCCAGGTGTACTGGCCTTCGTTGCCGTCTGGTGCTGTGAGTTGCAATGCTGTCAGGACGATGAGCCTGACGGGGGATGCGGTGCTTCACCAGCTGCTCCTCGGGAAGGACGGTAATGGCCACTGTGACCGCATTGCAGGGGTGTCGCACAGGCGTCGTGTCGCGGCGAAACGACACGCTGCCGAGTGAGGCACAATTGGCAGATTTAATTGCGGAACATTTGATGGCAAGTGTCCGTGGTGTGGAGGGTGACGACGCGTCTATCTTGTTTATCGCTCCACAGTGGTTTCTGTACGTTGCAGGTGACAACGCAGTTCCCGCCGCTGATACATTTTCTGCATCGCCTCCGCCGTGCTTCTTAGAGCAGCGCCCCGGCATTGTGTTGTGCTTCCGCGGCGAGGCGTGCGCTTCGGTGTGCAGCTCGCCCTCACCAAAGGCAACCGTGCTGGTCGCTAGATGGTGGAGAGACTTGCAGCGTGGTCTGCTGCTGCCCGTGGCGGAGTCGGCAGTGGATCTGCTTCTCTCCTGCCAGAAGAAAGAGAAGAGTGATGCTTTTCCGGTTGGGCTACCTTCTAGAGAGGTCTGCATCTCCTCGGACAATGAGGGGGTGTTGCGTGCCTCAGTGGAGCTCGATCTACCTTACCCATCGGTGTTGCCACCGCGTGCGGCGTATCCGCAGCCGCCACGAAGTGATGCTAATGATGACTGCAGTGAGGGCGACGGCGCCGCCTCTCGATGGCCCGCTGCCGGTGTCACCAGCGGATGTGGATGACTTTTCGTTCCTTGAGGAGCATCAGCGGCTGACAGAGTTGCGCTTCGCGGAGGATTTTCCGGATCTACTTGGGCCAGAAACCTACGATGGTCTCGCGTCTACTCACCACCGTCATAAGGAGCCAACTAGACTTTCGCCGCAGCTGCAGCGGGACGCCATTCACAAAGGTGCCGCACACCTCCACCTCTTTGTGGTCACCAATGGTGCTGCAGCAATGGCGTCAGATTCTGTGGGCTCCGCATCGTTGTCGGTGCCGACAGCGTGGTACGTACAGCTTGTTGCGCAGTATGAAGAGGCGAGCGGGATGCTCAACTGCGCGTTGGGTGGCACTCCAAAGCTTCGTCTTACTCCTTGCCCGCATGCCGCATCGAAATTCGTGCTCTTTGCCGACGATGCGCGGGCGAAAGTCTCCGCTGGGCTTGTGTTGCACTCTGTTGACTTCCCAAGTGTTATGATAGACGGAACTGCCTCCACCAGTTTGGAGAGGATGACACTCACTCCTGTTGCTCTAACAACAGCGTTGCCGCCACCACCGTGCGTGCGTTGCTCTTCCACTGGGACGGGGTTTGAGAAGGGGAAGAGGGAGAAGGGCTCGGTACTATCACCAAACACCGTGGTCTCGTCGTACCGCGACAGAAAACCAAGCATGGCAGAGTTCTTTCTGGAGGAGAAGCCACAAACGGATATGCAGACATACTGGCGTATGCGTCCTGTTCCTCTTCACGTCGACAACAACGACGCTGAATGGCACACCGCTGCGAGTCTTGATTCTCATACACTTGGCGCCGTTCCCTCCACACTGCCATTAACTCCTGTCTTGTTTCCGCTATATGTGTTACGTTGACGCCGCTGTGGCGTAGCCACTTGGAAATGGAGCTCTATCGGCACTCACACCGTCGTGAGCTTGGCCTGCAGGTCCCGCGTCGTCCGGGGTGCTTTTTGTCATCACCCAAGAGCCTGACAAGTGGCAACTCCTTCACTGACACTCCATTCTCGCCGCCGGGTGAAGTGGCGAGCTTTGTGCCGCGTGACCTTCTGAGAGGCGTGGAGGTGTGCGAGGAAGAGGAAGAAACAAGAGATGTAGCAGGACATTGCTACGCGGTGCTCTCCACTGCCGCCGCCGCCGCCGCATTTCGAAAAAAACCGCTGCAGGCAGCCATTGTCGGCAACACTGCAGCAGGGAAGACGATGGTGGTGCGGTGGCTGTGGGCTCAAAGCCACGGCTGCGGCAACGCTGGCATGCTGCGTGAAATCGAAAGGTGGTTCCGGCGCGGCGGTGGTAGCACTGTCACTGAAGAGGTGGAAGACGACATCGTTAGTGTTGTTCTGCAGTCGCAGTTGCAGTTGCCTTTGCGGTCACCATCGTCAAATGACAGGACGATAGGAAGCATTGACGGGACGCAACGTGTGAAGTTGACGGCGTATGGAGAGACTCATGTTTTTCTCTCGGACGACGCGCGGTTTCTTGTGCAGCCATCAACAGCAGTCAGTGAGGCGGTGATGCATGTGGTGGACTGTGGGGTGTCTGTGGCGGTGCGCGTTGTTGACATCCCTGGGTGTTCGTCACGGGAGTTGCTCCGCACGCAATGCATGGAGGCAGATGTGGTTATATGCACCGTTGACACGCGCGACCAGTTCAGCCTGACGTGGTTGGAGGAGCGACTCTATGTGATACTTGCTGGTTCAAGGGCGGATGAGCACACGCAGACTGCTGACTCTGTCGCAGCGCAGTGTACTCACCAGCACCGGAGGCAACAGTTTGTTCTCTTGAAACTAAACGAAGGCTCACCACAGCAAGTGGTGTACTCGCGGGATGTGCAGTAGTTGCTGCGAGAGGCCGACTCAATTCTGCGCACACCGCGTCGATCGTGGGTACTCTGGGGCGTGCCGTGCGAAGAACAGATGGACACGGCCCACCGATGCGACCTGCTGTACAAGAGCTTTGTGGATTTGGTGCAGAAGCGACAGGCCTGCCGTCTCATCACCGCCGCTCTGGGGTGGGACGAAGGTGTTGCTGTGCTGATGCAGAAACTCGAGCGCCGCGTGAATAACGCCAGTGGCGGCAAACGTGATCGTGCCGCGATGGGCTGCGCCGAAGAGGATGTGACCAACGCGTTAGGACACGTGCTAACCACTCTCCCCGTCTGGGTCTGTGAAGGTATTGCGAGGGAATTCTTGCGGTGCACTGGCGTTGACCCGCTGTTGGTCTCACTGCCTTTGTGGTGGTGCCTGCTGCGCTGGTTGATGGTTGGCGTTTGTCTCTCCGATCCACTTGCGCACTGCTTCTGGCTCGCGCTTCAAGCAGAGAGCGGGGGAAGCTGTAGTAACAATGACTATATTGGGATTGACAACAACGACGACAACAACAACAATGGCACTGGGCAAAAAGTTAATAATGACAGTGGAGCCCTCAGCCGTGATCCCTAGCGCGTTGTAGCGGCGTGGCGAGTTCACCACCTAACGTTACCCGGGTAGCGGCTCATGCTTGAAGAGTTCTATCGTTTTCGAGGCAAGACAAAGTCTTTGTGTGTAGATGTCTTGTCTCATCTTGTCACCATCACACAAGAGGTGGCACGACTTGCATTTATTGAGGTTTCAGCAGGTACATTGAGGCAGTGGCTGGGTCGTGTGGTGGAATCACAGAAAAAAGTGCCCAGTGGTGATGATGGTGAACGTCAAGCGTGGCTACTCTTCATGCTTTCTTTATCGGACTCTAACTCCGCCGTGCCTTCTGCTTCGGAAGACATGAGTATATGCAGCAGCGAGGCTCTCTTGAGACCTTTACTAATACTGCGCCTCCTGTGTGGTGCATCTTGTTTGCTGGGGGCTCTGCTGTGCAAACTGCAGCAGGCACCACCCACCAACGTCTCGCAGCTTTGGTGCTTTAACTCCCCTCTGCGGGAAGCTGAGCCCAACGATAGCTACTCACTGTCCGATGAATGTGCGGCTGCGTGTGCGGCAGACCGGCGCAACGATTCGCTGCGTCCGCCCACGCGTCTCCCCACACAGCTGCTAGAGCTCGCCGTAGGTACGGAGTTGGTGCGAGTGATGCATGGCTGCCTGCCCAACGAGCAGGAAGGTGTGCGCCGTGCCAACTCCACGTTGTCTGTTGCGGATTTGGCACGCTCTCTGCGTCACACTTGGCCGGCGACCGATGTCGAATACCCACTGGACTGGCGCAGCAGTTGGGTCGAAGAGAACGAGGCGGACTTTATCCGCCATGTCCACAGGGCCATCCAGCGGCACGAGAACGAGGAGAGGTGACTGCGCCGGCGGCTATACGGAGAGGAGGCGCTGCAGCAATTCGCACCTCCCACAAGCGCCTACGTTGTGGCGTAGCCGGGCTACACCGATGTAGACGCGGATCTGGAGTCGGTGTACCGTGATATGGCGGAAGATCTGGCGCCACTCTAAAACTTGAGCGGAGGGGCACCAGAAAGGCAAATACCCGCTAACAGACCCAAGCAAATTCCCAAAAAAAAATAAAAGGGGAAATAGAGAGATAAAAGAGTTCTCGTTGTTTTACTTGTGCGCTTTTTTCCTCACTGATGAATGTCGCAGATAGTGGTAGTGGTAGTATATTCAAAATGGAGGTGTACCGACGTGTGACCGAGCGTGTGCGTGGCGCGCTGTGGGCGCATCACGGCCGCCTTATGTCGGAGCGGCAATTTCACCGCATTCTGGCGTACGTCTACAACAACAAGTACGAGCACCAGATACGCTTTGACCGGATGGAAGTGGTAGGCCGCGAGTGGGGGGGTCGTGTGGAGGTCGTGACAACACCGGCCGGCTTTTTGAAGCGGGTGCGCGTCAATCCGTGCATTGAGGAGATCTCGGTGTATCAGCAACAGCAAATGATCCTTGCGGCGTACGCGGATGCCTGCGCGCAGGGCAGGCGACTGATGGAGCAGGCGGAGATAAACATCTACAAGCAGTTCCTTAAGGACCTCAAACCAATCATCATGGGTATCCGTGATAACGCGGAGTTCTATACCGTGCCGGAGGACTCCATTGAAACAATCGGTGGTACGCTACACTCCGGCAATGGTGCTGCGCCCCTGACGCATCGTACAATCCCTGCCGCAAAGGCACACCAACCGGGTGACGAGGTTCGCGCACGCCAGCAGTGGGAGCAGAAATGGCTGCACACACCGCAGGGCCAGTCATGGGCGCTGACACTACGGGGTAAGGCGTACTTTGCGATGCATTGCCCGCAGTACCGTCCACGTGGTGCACCTGGCGCGAAGAAGGCGACGCTGCCATTAGATCTGCCGGCACCATACACACCGATGGATGAGGCGCGGCTGCTTAAGAAGAACTGGATGGCGTACCTCGACAACAAGCACGTGGCAGAGGTGATGTGGACACGGGCCAAGATAGCGGATCGGGAGAAGCACCAACGGAAGCTGCAGGAAACGGGACAGGCGTGGCATCGTCCTATCAATGAGGAGGCTGTGACAAGGTGGTGATTTTGTTTCTCATGCTCTAGTGTTTGGGGAGGTTGTTGTTGTTGTTGGTGTTGACTTTGATGCGATTGCTATTGATGATGTGTGAAGGAGGTTTCCCCCACCCTAGGGGTTAACCACACTTCACGTAGTCTACTCGTGTTGCCCCTCCCTTCTGCTTTTGTTTTTTTTTCGTTTGGGGCGTACCGCTCTGGAAAGGTGGATAGCCACCCACACAAAAAGGTCAAATGCTCAGCGGGGGTGGTGCTGCATCTTCGCATGATGAGGGATCATCGTCGTACACGTCTCCTATCGTCTCGCGTCATCACAAGTTGTGGGATGGCACTACTATCTTCCACGTGAAGGGTTTGAGGCAAGAACAACGGCAGCAGAAGCAGCAACAGGAGGAAAATACAGTATCCCCATCGTGGTTGCCTCCAAAACTGATGAACGCAGCCTCCATGTCGCCGTCACCCAGCCCTACCAAGGCGCGTTTGTCATTCGCCCCGATGCAGCGTAATGGTCTTGGCAGAAGCCCTCTCTTTTCTCCAAGGAAGGCGCCACTCAGTTTCGCTACGTCAGCGGCTACTACTACTACTACTACTACTACTGCTACAGCGGCGGCGGTGGTGGCTGCTTCGGCGGCGGCACCGTTATCATTGAACGGCCACCAATACAACGTCCCAGTGGCAGTTGATGTGCCCCTGCAGCAGCAGATGCTAGATGCCTTCAAAAGGCGAGCAACGCGTGCAGTCTCGCTGGACAAACTCGACACTATGAGAGATGAGGATCCGCTATGGCCCAGTGGGGCGACACGGTCATCGGATATAACAGCAGCAAGGCGCAAAGACCACGGGGGTACAGCTGTGCCCGGATCCATGGCGCGCGACCAGGTGGTGCGTGTTGTTGACGTGGTGCTGTCGACCGGTGTGTCCTCATCAGTGAAGACTGGCTACGCTGGCAGTGCTTCCAACGACGAGACAATTGCGTGCACGGCGCTGGCCCGCGCCCTCGAGGCGGAGCTGCACGGACGATTTATTGTTGAGCAGGCCGAGCTGTGGATGCGCGAGGACGCGGCGCGGCGCAAGGCGTGTCTGCGGGAGGAACACATGCGGCGCCTGCTGGTGATGCGTGCCGTAGCGGCGATGCACGCGTGGCACAGCGAGCACCGGCACGCCGCTCGAATGCGCGACTTACAGGTGCGCTCTGATGAGCTCGCGGGAGAGGAGCGAGAGACGCTTCTCGCAAGCGTCCGCCGATTGGAGAGCGAAGAATCGGTGCTGCTAGAGCGCGTCGGCGACGCCGAGAGGCGCGTGAAGTGGGGCCAGCGGCTCCTTGCACTGCGAGAGCAGGAGGCCCTCACGCAGATCAAGGCGGAACGCCACGCGATGGTTGCGCAGCTGCAGCTGTTGGAGACACGCCTCGCGGAAGCGCTTGAGCGGCGCAAGAGGGCGGTTCTCGGCGCAGCGTTTGGCCACGAGCCGCACCACCAGCTTCTCTCGTTTGAGCCGCACAGCACAGGGTGGGATGCGCCGTCTATCTGTGTCTCGCGTGATCGCACATCTAACGCCACACAGGAGGAGCAGGCGTTAACAGCAGCAAAAACACATGCTGCACCGTTGCGCCGCACTGCTGTGTCATCATCGATGGATTTCTCGACGCCGACGGCCCCTTTATCGTCTTCGGGCGGTGGTGCGTTTTTGGTTGCTATGCGGGATGCGACGGCCGCGGCCACGCGGCTGCTGGATGAGGAACGGCCGCATCCGTTTCATCACCGTGTCGTTGATGCACCACCGGCCGACTACTACGCCGCTGCACGCCAGGGAAGAGTGAGTGGTGACGTGGACATCAGGCGTGCATCGTCACCGCGGACGGTGCTTTGAATTGAGGGGTGTAGAGTCTGAATCGAGCTGGCATAGCTGTACTAAGATTTGTTTTTTTTTTTATTTTTTAGTGTGTATGCTGTTCTCCTCCAGTGTGTGACCTGCGCCCTCTATGTGGTGCATTTCCTGGTGGGGAGATGCCAGAGTAGCGGGAGGGAGCGTGCGAGGTTGAGGCGATGACGTCACTGCTCTTGTGGGGCATATGACGGTGCTACGGCGGTATTGTGGAGAGCGATGTGCGTACCTTATTGAGTATTGCCCTTGTTGCCCTTTGTAGCAGTTTGCTAATGTGCACTCAAATAGGGAAGAATGAATAAATCTTCTGTAGACATGAGCATGGTGCTGCCGCACACTCTTGCTGCCAACATCTCCTCGGCGAGTTCCTCCGATGAAAAAAGGCATTCACCGCGTCTCTTGCTGCTGCTACTGTTGTTGCTGCTCATCCCGGCGGTGTGGGGGGCGTACCTTCTGGCGCGCTACTGTCGCAGATGCCGCTATCATCGCCTCGCACGGCGTTTGAAGCTGTGGGGCGAGCGAAAGCCAGGAGAAGTGGACGACGTTGAGATGGGATACGCCATTGGCGGTGGTGAGTGGTTAACGCATCGATACTACCCACAGAGCAGCAATGTGGATGGAAACACGCTGGCTCTCGATCTGAGCGGTACGACAAAAGAGTTTGACCCTATTTTCGAGGAGGCGCAGCAGCACGAAAAGCGACGAATGTGGCGGCGCACCGTGGCCGATGCTGCAAGCAACGTTAGCGGCGATTTGGAGGGAGACAGAGAGGCTACGGCGGACATGACTGAGAATGCCTTACCCGAAGGGGAGGGGGAGGCTGTAGGGTCATATGATGCTACAACGACACGTGTGTGGTTGAAGAAACTCGTCAGCGAGGAGTTCGCCAACAGCAGAAGCACAAACGACAACAACAACAAGAGTGGCACTGCAGTGCCGCCGATGCCAGGCGGCGCGAGCGCGGTTGCAGGACCTCCAAGCCCCCGCGACCGCCAGTGGCGGGGCGGCAGCAGCATACCTGTCGACCACCGGCGCCATGAAAGCCGCGGCTTTGAGGACATTTTGGCGACAGTGGCGCCGCCCGAGCCGCTCGCCGCCGCGCTTCAAAATAAGAGCGGCATGACGAAGGACACATCCGCATTTGTGGCGCACTCCGGCGAGATAAAGGACAAGACCGAGGAAGAGGAAGAAGAAGAGGAAGAGGAAGAGGAAGAAGAGGAAGAGGAAGAAGAAAAGGAAGATTAAAGCAAAGCATCAGAAGTCCAAACCAGGCGGCGGGAAATCCTCGTTTTTGTTTCTCTACTTGATGGGCGTATGCGCGTTCATTCACATGGAGTGATGGGGTCCTCATTATGCCTGTCATTTCCCACCGAATACGCGCAAACGGATGACCATGTGCTGGATGTGCCCGTCACCCGGCTCGCTTTAACTGTGCCTCCTACTGTTATTGACTGTTGATCGTGGTGTTCTTAGCGAATATATAAAGTCTGCATCTGTGTGTGAGTGTGTCTATCTGATTCGGCTGCAAGTCTGGATGACAGCGAGCAAAGCTCAACCATTGAACAACTGTTTTCACAGCTGCCCCTCTCGGTGTTGGGCGTAGTGAGCAGAAAAACAAAAGTCCAGCCAGCTGTTCAGCAGATTTACTCCATGTCTAGAGTAACATTGGCTGTGTTTCTTCTGTGTTGGTGCTAACTATGACGGGGCGAAAAGTCGAGATCTCTTCACGAAAAGAGGTGAAGAATACCGCTTCCAAATTGGCTTATGATTCCTACAATAATGTGAAGATAAGACTTGGCGGTGAAGTGCCGCGGCATGAGTGTCACCACCACAATATGACGACTTCCTTTCGTAGACATATAGAGGGGTAACACAAAATCACTCAGAATCTTCACCTCGTTTTACCCTTAAATCTCTGCTGACATAGATTATCTACTGACTACTGTGCCGCACTTATACACACAAAAACGATGAAACACTATAATAACCACAGCTACCATTGGCTGCTGCTGTTTCTGCTGTGCTGCGCAAGTGCGTGCCTCGGCTCGGCGCAGCATCACTGCGGGTTCGGCGAGTTGATGAGGCAGAGCGGCACACGCCCGTTGGGCATTGTGGCGGAGGTGCCAAAGAAGGGCGAGAGCGCGTTCCAGGCGTACACCGCGGCGGGGTCGGACGGCTGGGCGCCTCTCCGCATCGTGGTGTCCACGAGGGATCTCGACAACACGTCGAAATACTGCAACCAGACGGGTGTGGAACGATCTACGTTTTTCAGTCCAGTTAATTGCACAGAGTCGATGGTTCTTACGCCTGAAAAAATTGCTGCCATTAAGAACCCGATCATCCCTGCTGCTGTGAAACTGCACACGGACCGTCTGCTCGTCCAGCCTGTGAGCGGCCCTTTAAAGGTGCCTGAGTTTGCCGAGGGTTCTGTGTGCAAACACTTCACAGTGCCGTCTGAACATCACACAACAGGCGTGAGCAACGCGGACATGGTGCTGTACGTTGCGGCTGGTCCCTCGGAACGAGGAGCCCTTGTCTGGGGTGCCCCGTGTGCCATGGCTGAAGGTCGCCCTGTCGTCGGTGCATTGAACATCCCAAAGGTTTCAACGCTCTTGGTGCGGTTCTACTCTCGCATTGCCGCTCATGGTATTGCACACGCACTTGGCTTCAGCTACGAGGTGATGGTGTCCCGCGGGATGGTGGCGAACATCACGAACGTGCGCGGCAAGGCACAGGTCACGGTTGTGAACTCTTCCAAGACTGTGGAGAAGGCCCGAGCGCACTACGGCTGCGACGAACTTACTGGCATGGAGCTGGAGGATGAGGACGCCGAGAGGACAACAGGCTCGCACTGGGAGCGGCGCAACGCGAAGGACGAGCTGATGGCTGCGCCGGTTGGTCTCGGCACCTACTTCTACACTGCACTGACGATGGCGGCGTTCGAGGATATGGGCTTCTTCCGCGCCAATTGGGGGATGGAGGAGCCGATGAGCTGGGGCAGTAACGCCGGNGTTGGTCTCGGCACCTACTTCTACACTGCACTGACGATGGCGGCGTTCGAGGATATGGGCTTCTTCCGCGCCAATTGGGGGATGGAGGAGCCGATGAGCTGGGGCAGTAACGCCGGCTGCGGCCTGCTAAAGGAGAAGTGCATGACGAACGGTGCCACGAAATACCCGGACATGTTCTGCAGTAAAAAAGGAATTGTTAAATGCTCCTCGGATCGCTTTGGCTTTGGCGCCTGTGAGTTTGACAAGCATGAGTCGCCTCTTCCCGAACGGTTTCGGTACTTCACAAGCCCGGATCTCGGTGCACCCGACCTTCATCTGACGGACCACTGCCCTATCCTGGTGCCTGAGAGAATTATGTGCAGCGCCAATGCTTATGGGGATATACTTGGAAACATAATGGGCGAAGATTCGTGGTGCCTGGACGGGAACGGCCTCTTTTTGAATACATCGAAGCCAGAAGAGATGCCAGGCGTCTGTGCGGCCGTGCAGTGTGCTGACGGTGTTGTGAAGGTGCGGTATGGCGGCGACGACACGTGGCACAGCTGCCCCGAGGGTGGCTTACTCACGCCGTCGTCAACGTCGCAGGCCTTTGTGAACGGCACCATCAAGTGCCCCAAGTACACCGAGGTGTGCACCGTCGCCGGCGACGGAAGCAGCCGCATCGCCATCAAGTCCAGTCCTGACACCAGCGGCAGAAGCTCTTCTTCCACGTTTGATGGGGGGAACAAAGCTGTTACTGCTCCAAAGGTTACTTCTGACATGAGCAGCGGTAACCCTGATTCCGCCGGTGTCACTGTCAGCAGAACCGCCAGCCCGAAGGATGCCAACAGAGGTGTTGTCAATTCCCATTACGATACCGACATTAACAGCGGCCCCGCTAATTACGCTGTTGCTCCCTCCAGCGACAACAGCATCACGTCGGGTACTCATGCTGACACGAGTGTCTCAGTGGATTCCAGAGCCATTGCCGATATCACCGCTCTCCCTAATTCTAACGGGGATGCCGACGTCAGTACGGCTGCCAGCATTGTCGCGCCGCTCGCGTTTCTTGCTGCAGCCGCCACTGCCTTGCAGACCGCGTGACGGTCTGTTGGAAAAACGCGCCCGCGCGCCAAATCGGCAGAAACAAGTTTTATGGAATACACACTACTCTTCTTACGGGATCTTTTGGGCTTAATACATTGCTCCATTTTGTGTTCTTCACCAGTGACAATACAATTCCTTTTCCTTGCTGATACTTGGGCAGCTTTGCACTCGCCTGCTGTGTTGCACAAGGCACCACATAAGCATGTGGCGTGGCGTGCTGCTTCGGCAGCAGACCTGCGACCCGCAGGACTGCATCGTTACCACCGTCATGGGCTTTCCCCCCCTCTTTTATGCTTTTCTCTTGCTGTGAACCGCTCTCGATGGAGAATGCGACCGTTCCTTCCTCTTCACGGACAGGACGCAAGCGCAATAACCTGTGTGCTTCTGATTCGACTTCACGTAAGTGTTTCTTGGTCTGGGGAATAGGGAAATACGTCAGTTTCACGTAATTTTTTTTTTCGAAATATACGATTCATAATTTGGATCCACGCAACAGCTTCTTTCTTGGGCTTGGGCTTGGGGCTTCATCCAATATTAAGAGCTTCGGTGCGTGGTGCGCCCTCTGTGGTGCTGGCGGTTGCTTGGGGTGCTTGTGCTGCTGCTGCGGCTACCACTGCTGTCCGTGTGAGTCTTCTTCCCCGCAGCCCTCTCGCTGCTGCTGTGGTAGGTAGGTGCGTTTAGACATGGCTGCATGTGGGCGGCGCTGCTGCTCTTCGCCAGCCCCGCCGTCATGGGTGCTGCTGCCGTCATAATGCTGTCTAAGTGCGCTACGCACGTGGCAGTCGACAGTCTCTGACGTTGGTGCGGCCGGTGGCTGCTCAGCTCCACGTGCCGACTCTGAGGGGGTGGCACGGCTTGGCTGGACACTCATAGCGTATATGCACGGGGCGGTCGGAGCGCCGACGAAAGAGTCAGTGGACACATTGCACAGTGCTGCTGACCGCTGCACAGTGGTGCCCTCCGCCCGAGAAGAGACGGAATGCATGCACACGCACCACAGCCGCCAGTGTGTGTCATCGCGCGCCCTGAGGCGTTACCGTTTTCGCGTAGCGTACTGCAGACATGCGCACTCTCTTCTGCAGTGCCTGTTTCTGTTGCTGTTGCCGCCGGCGTGCTTTGCTTCTCGTGGTGTGTTGAGGGTTTGACGGCGTGGTGAGCTGACTTCTAGTGCGTGTGATATAGTGCCCGTGGCAACAGTCTTGCTTGCGTGCGTGCGCCCCTTCCTTCTGCTTGTGTGTGTGAATGATGACTCGCTGGTGCTCCACGCACGCCTCTCTGTCTCTCTCTGCATCAACTCCTTTCCCTTCTCTTTTAGACAACCACTGCTGCCTACTGTGCTACTGCCCTGAACCACACACGGACGAAACATGAAACACCGGTTCCTCAATGCCAAACTGTCGCTCTTTGTGGTGCTGCTGTGCTGTGCCGGTGCGTGTCTCGCCTCTCCACGCCATCGCTGTGGGTTCGATGAGATTATGAGGGAGAATGGCAATCATCCAGTCGCCATGGTTGCGGAGGTGCCGCAGAAGGGCCAGAACTCCTTTCAAAAGTATACTGTGGCCACATCGGACAGCTGGGCTCCCCTCCGCATTGTGGTGTCCACGAAGGACCTTGACGACCCATCAAAGTACTGCAGTGAGGTTGGTGTGGAGCGGCCCAACTTTTTGGGCGGGAGCTTTTTCTGTGAAGATCTGGACATCATTACTGCGACGTCAATGCGCATTCTTACACGTAGGCTTATCCCTGCAGCTGTGAAATTGCACACGGATAGATTGCTTATCCGTAGCGGGGCCAGACGTTTGAAAGTGCCTCGATTTGACAAGGGAACTATATGCAGTAATTTCACAGTACCTGGGTTTCACCAGAGGATAGGTGTAAGGGCTGCAGACATGGTGCTGTATGTTGCGGCTGGGCCCTCGAGGAAGGCTGACATGTGGTCGGTGCCCTGCGCTGCGATTGGTGATCGTCCAATCGCTGCTGCAATGAACGTAGCCAATATCAAGGCGTCAGCGCTGCGTCACTCCACTCGTCTTGTTGCACACGAGATCGCACACGCGCTTGGCTTTGCCTACGAGCTGATGGATTCCCTTGGTATGATATCGAAAGTAGCAGGTGTGCGCGACAAACCGCAAGTGGCAGTTGTGAGCTCTAAGAAGACAAAGGAGAAGACACGAGCGCACTACAGCTGCGGTGATCTGGTGGGCATGGAGCTGGAGGACGAGGGTGGTGAGGGGAAGGCACTGTCGCACTGGGAGCGGCGCAACGCGAAGGACGAGCTGATGGCTGCGCCGGTTGGTCTCGGCGCCTACCTCTACACTGCACTGACGATGGCGGCGTTCGAGGATATGGGCTTCTTCCGCGCCAATTGGGGGATGGAGGAGCCGATGAGCTGGGGCAGTAACGCCGGCTGCGGCCTGCTAAAGGAGAAGTGTATGACGAACGGCACCACAAAATACCCGGACATGTTCTGCAACGGAGAATCTCCCAGTTTGTGGATGTGCTCCTCGGATCGTCTTGGGTTTGGGAGTTGCATGAGGCGGTCTTACAAAGAAGAACATCCCGAGAAGTATCGGTACTTCGTTAAAAATAAGGTTGCTGGTGATGAGTCATCGCTGACCGACTACTGCCCAAGTGTCGAGCTCAGTGAGTATTTCTGCGGGGAGAGGGGAGCGTCTCCGTATCCAGGGAGCCTTCTGAGCAACGAGTCGTGGTGCCTTGATGGGGAGGATCTTGTGGCAAGGGGCTCCTTCGGGGCCAAGATCTTCACAAGCGGCGTCTGCGCGGCTGTGCAGTGTGCTGACGGTGCTATGAAGGTGAAGCATGCTGGCGACGAGAAGTGGCACGACTGCCCCGAGGGCGACTCACTCAGGCCGTCGATGACGTCTTCATCCTTTGCGAGCGGCAGCATCAAGTGCCCAAAGTACAGCGAGGTGTGCACCATCGCTGCAAATGGCAGCAGCCTCATCCATTCCCACTCCACTCGTGACACGAGCAGCAACTCTTCTAGCCGCCGGGAGCGCTGAGTCGCACGGCTTCAAGCACGCCGCGCTGGTCGGCCTGGTCGCTGCGAATGGGGTGGGCCACAACACACAGCGCTTCTTCAGCGTGGCCGTGGTACGGTCGCCCCGTCCGCAGCGAAAAGACCAACAAATCGTTAGGTACGTGAGAGTATGCTTCTAGACGAACAGTCAAGTACACATAATTTTTTTTTACAATTGCTTGTCGCTCTCCGACACCGAAAAAAGGTTTCTGTTTTGTTTGTTAAGCGCTTCGGCTTGTATTGCTTGTCGCACAGCGACCCTGGGGTTTCTTTGAAGGACAGAAATATGGTGCCCACGGGGCTTTGGGGCGCTTGGGATGTACACAGGAGCACTTCCGCCCTTCTGAAGTGCTGAGTGCAATAAACGTTGCTTCGGTTTCCGCTGTGTGGTCATGATACCATTCTCGATCTCTCCGCCTTTCTGCTGCTGTTGTTGCTGCTCTTCACAGGTAGCTGTGGTGCTGCTGCTGCTATCCGGCCTGTGCATGCGGCGTGGCGGCATGCACTCGGCGCCGATGTGCCCTGCTGGCCGTGACGCGGGCACGCTGCCGGCCTATCCCTGGCTGCTCCACCACCCTCATTACTACATGAGCAGTAGGCGAGCTGCTCCTTG